GGCTTAATTTTGTGCTTCAAAGTCCAAAGTCTGACAAGCGAGATATGCTACACTGATATATGAACTGATTCCAAATAGCAATTAGAAAGAAATAGTAGAAAGAAGTTATCGTGTTATAATAAGGCAAGCGGTATGGAGAATTTGACATTCGCATAAGGAGAGCAAGAGGGACAGCGGAAGAGAGCGGGCCATCTACAAGACGAGCGGCTGTAAATGGATAGCGGGACTGGTCACGGAGACTTACAAACGTTGCTAAGTACTACAAGAGATAGGAGGTTGTGGAGAGCCATGATCGCTTATGTCCTAAAAAATATGATACGTAATGAAGAAGGATGATGTTGAAAGAGAAGTATGCATGTCGGTTCCTGCCATATCAGGCCAAAGATGGATTATTGCTGCTTATTTCCGAGTTGGAGCTAACCCAATCCTCACTTTCCTGTCTTGACAAAGTTCACGGACGTGTTGATGAGGAATTATTTTCCACCCTACAACCTCTTTCCACGCAGATCAAACGTTGCAGCCCTATCACTAATCTATAGTATATATTCATGAAAAGCGTTAATAACAGCTTCATTCTTCAACTGATTCGAACCGACCATGTATATGGTTGCTTATTGTTTTTAGCGTAACGATACGAAATGATTCCTGCATAAATACGCGGTTACTAAATTAGATGCTAACCTCCACATTTCGGTCTTAAGTTTTCCACTGATATGAATTGGAACTAGTAAATTGGTTCTCTGATTCGTTCTAGGTAATTTTTCTCAGCTTGCATCTTTATAAGTCTACCATTACTCTATGCATTGAGTATTACCGCCACATCTGCTTTGGTGCTTTTCCATCTGTAGAGGAACAAATCAACGGAATGTGAAGAAATAAATAATCTTCAAACACAGTTCTACAAATTTTTGATAAATTTTATTATTGAGTTTTTGTTTTAAGTTGAAAGAAACGAATTATAAACGTCCTCGCAAAGCAAATTCCCACAAAATATTTTATTTTCGTTTTTTACAACACCTCAGAATCAATTGCGTTAGTATGATAGAGAAAGCAGGAAGTATATACTTAACAAGAGAATCACGTCTTTACGTTGTTTTCTGAATGCGTGTAATTTTCCAGCAGTCTGCTAAAGCTAACTGTGATATTGCTACTACTAATAATTTTGTTGACATAACTCCGTTCGTATGTTTTTCGTGTTGCTTAATTTACTTTAAAATCGAGAGTCTATTGCAAGAAGTTACTCGATATATATGTAAAATGTTGAGTAATTATACAAAAGGTGTAAGTAATCAGTTGTGCACCAAACGAGGCAAAATTTTACTGAAAAACTGAAAACTAAACTTTGTGAAATTACCCGATCGTATTTATAACAGCGCATAGGTTCCGGGAAAGTAAAAGTTAGATTTACTAAACTCAGAAGTTTACTGGTTAATAAATATATTTCGCAATTTTTAAATATCTATTTTTAGGATGGTAAACATTGTTGATCATTTTCTAGAGTGAGCGTCCAAATTTCGTAGCTGATAACAATTATGGTCGTCTGAAATTTCAAAGCCATAAGCGAGTTTGATATAACGACGCAGATTGGTTAATAAATGCGAATGTTTAATTTCAAGTTTGGAATCGACTTTGTATACAGGAATGAGTCAATTTCTGTGTGAGCCGGTGTTTGCACATAATTAAGATTTTTAGTGATATTACTTAAAGCTATTGAATTTTTCTACAATTTTTAGCCGGTTTGCACACATCTAAAGATTCTGCTTGGGCGCTTTTGCTATGCGTCTAAAGAATTTTGACAAAATTAAAAGAAGAATCTGCTACGTTATCGGTCCTGACCTGGCATCTCGACTTCAATGACTTTTCGGCTGACGTAACAGTCTTCTCTTTGCCTTTTCTATAAATATTTACATGGCAAGTGTACTGATGAACTTTTTTCTTTGGCACCCCAACTTCATGAATTCAAGCGTAGATCACATAAGGAGGAAAGAGGGTTTGGAAAATATGATACTCACAAGACAGATTAAAGGGACAGACGAAAACAACGCATAACATATTTAGTAAAGTGATAGCGGAATTAGGTTTAGGAGAAATAACAAAAAGACAAAATTTATTAAGAGCTACAAAGGACAGGAAATTGTGGAGAGCCATGACCGCCTACGCCCTGAAGGGATACAACACATAGAAGAAGAATGAGTTTGAGTAAATGGATGGTGGAACAAGGTTTAGGAGAAATAACAAAAAGACAAAATTTATTAACAGCTACAAAGGAGAGGAAATTGTGGAGAGCCATGATCACCAACGTCCTGAAGAGATACAGCACATTAAGAAGAACATTAGTTTGTCAGGGTGTTATATTATTTTCTAACTAACGCACTTCTCGCTTGTGGAACTTCCTTCTGGCTTCTTGCTTCCTGTCAACTACGATCTCTAAAAATTCAAATGCAACGTCAATCGCAATCGTCTGTTATTTTGAATCTTGTCCTTTCTACTCAATAATATTTTCTTTCACTCTCATTAATCCCTTGCGTCTTAGTGTCTTTATCGCCTTTCCTTGTATAAAATGATTAAAAAACAAAACCCTTAATGTCCGAAATATTAAACATAGATTATGGTTCCCTATTTAGCATCTGCCTCCTTCAATTCTCTTCTTTTATTGTCCTCTTTCATTATTAAGGTTTTATCAATTTCTTACACTCTCAGTAACCCCCACTTCGTCTTTGTGGCTTTATCGCCTTGCTGGGGGTGGGTGTGAAATGATTAAAAAAAAAAAAAGGAACTTATACTATATGTCTTCTTTTTTTAATATACCATGTTCTTTCGGGACGTGGGTGATGGTCACACCACCAATTTCTGTATATTTTCCCGTCTCGTCTATTGAAACTCAAAAGTAAGTATATAAAAAATTGGAATAAGTTGATATTTACTTATCTTTTAATTTCATATAGACGGGGCTTGAGGATTATTCTTTCAATCCGGGACATCTTTATTCCAGTCACTCCTTTTATTAAATAGTTAATAAATTTACCCCCCCCCATCCTTTAATCTAGGCTGTAAGCATTATAAAGGCAGAACATTTCATTTGAATATTTAATAAAAAAAAAGGATTGTCGGAATAAGGATTACCTTGGTGGATTTTACTCCGAAAACGAATAATCGTCCCCGGCCGTCTATTTGAATCTGCTATTGAATTTCTACTTTATACTCTAAAATGTCTACAACATAAAAATGAAAGAAAAAAGATGTTCTTTTTTAATCGCTTCATCCTAAACAAGGCGATAATGCCACTAAGGCGCAAGGGGTTACTGGGAGTGAAAGAGAATAAGACTTTAGAATTGATGAAAGGACAAAAATAGAACAGGTTTCAAGAAGACAGAAGATGGTGATTGACGTTGCATTTAAATTTTTGATGATAGTAGTTAGTGTAAGCAAGAAATCGGGTGCGACTTTCACAGATGAGAAGAAACGAAACTGTTAGAATAGAAGTGATTTATCAGTAAAACGGCGGGACCTAGTTGCCAATCTAGTAGCACGCTTAAATTCATGTAGTCCGGGCACCAAGGAAACAAGCCCGTCAGAGCAGTTGCCATGAAAATATTTGTAGAAAAGACAGAGGGAAGTCACCTCACGTTGGGGAGAAAGTTAGAGAAGTCGAGATCCCAGTTCAGGATCGATTACATTGTAGATCCTTCTTTGAAATTTGTCAAGAATCTCAAGATATACAGCAGGGACACCAGATCAGATGTGGTAGCAGTATTCAATGCACGGAAAAATTGTGGAATTATAAATGTTGCAAAATAAAATCTGAAAAATTATCTGGTACGACACAGCAGTAGCAAATGATTCGATATCGTCGTGCCACTTCAAAATAAAGAATTTTTGAATATATATTTAAAATTCCAGAGACGGGATGTTATAATATAAAGCACTGGATACTTAAACTTAATCACTCTTACTATTTACAGAGGGATGGCTGGAAGGACTTAATAGAAATTGACGTTAAAACATTATAGAGAAAAGCAGCCTTCATTCGTAACGAAAATGTCTCTTGGTTATAGAACCTAGTTCATAATAATCGCCAACCGAGATTAATTATTTGTCATATGAGAAGAAATATTAAAGTTTAAAAAATGCTATTTGCATTTACTTTAGTTTCAAACAGACGGGCCTGGACGATTATTTGTTTTCATAGAATATTCATATTCCAACCACCTATTTTCACAGTACCTCCCCCTCGTAGATGCGGGGGTCGAGAGTCATTGCGCAAGTGCCAAGAGGATTGGATTATGTTTGGTCTCTAGTCCCCTGTACGCGTAAGACTGCACTGAAAATAGCCTTGTGCCACATTGCGTTCAAATAGCCTTTATGTGTATCCTTATATACATAAAACCTGACAGTAATGATATAGATTTTTCTAGATCGATATACCCAATGCCCGAACCAAATACGATAATATATAACGCTTGTGTCAAGTGTTCGGGGCGTGTATCTGTTTACTTCACAAAGTTTCTTGGTACCAGGTGCAAGAAAAATGCTCAAATACAATTGATTTAATTCTTAATTATAAAACGAAAACGATCATCTTCTTTCTTCAGAGGAGATTTAAAATTCTCGGCTGAGTATTTATCAAATATATGTTTATCGCTGCCGGATGTTTAAAGTGAATCACTTTCTATTCGGCTTGATAGAAAAAGAAAATTGTCCAGATGATTTGATAACAGAAGCAAACAAAAGGTTACCACGCGCTCTATTAATAATAAATTTAAAGTTTATCTCATTTATCTGTAAAAATTAATTATTGAATTAATTATTTTATTATTAATTAATTTAATTATTAATTCAATTGCTTCGTCCACCGCGAGGAAAGTTGGCTCTCTGTGCCGCGCCAGGAAATTTTTCCCGGAATCGATACTTCAAATATACAAATCAACCATTCGCACTTGCATGGAGTATTGCTGCCATATATGGTCTGGGGCACCTTCTGTTTACCTCGGAGTACTTGA